TTCCCCAGCACTGGTAGCTCTTTAAGGCGAATCACAGCATAAGAGCGGATTTTGCATAAGACAGGATTTTTTCATTTACGCAACTGCCCCAGCAGTCATACGTTTTTACGTCCTGATGCAACACAGAAACGCATAATAATCTCAAAAAATGTTTGCTCACGTATTAAACAATGAAGCTGCTAAATTTATCGATTTGTGAAAATTGTAGTCAATGAACAATAATGCAAATACTGGCGATTATGGTGCAAGCGCGTATGGTTCAAGTGGCTACGGTTATGGTTCAGGTGGATACGGCTACGGTTTAGGTGGATATGGCGCGGGTGGATATGGACTGAGTGGCTATGCTCCAGGCGGATACGGTTATGGGGGATACGGTATAGCTGGATATTATTATCGTCGTCGGCGTTGATCTGCTTCATAAGTATAGTTGTTATTGTTTAGTTATAAATATTAAAAGGAATATGTGTGCTTTATGTAAATACTGGTGTTTTGTTTCACATAAAATATGGTGTTTTAAATTTATTATGTAACTAACGATGCGTATGGGGGTTGCCAGTGCGATCATCTTTTTTTGCACAGTCAGTTGCAAAACTGACTGTGTTAGCCAAACATGGTAATGGAACCCGCTCACAAAATTTCAGTACTTTTGCTACTTTGGCTGCGGAGTTACAAAATTGCATATATACGGAAGATGCGAAGTTGTTCTTATACGGGGATGCGAAGTTGTTCTTATATGTATCTGCCCTAACATAGCGTTGGACAAGATCACAAATTTTCAGCTTTTCAAGCAATGTAGCTGTGAAGATTCACAACTGTACATTTGTCAGAGCGTTATGTACAAAGTTGTGAAAGTTCTTTTTTTAAGTATATCTGCCTAAACAGGCTCATGGACTGCAAAAATTTTGGTGTTTAAGCTATTTTGGTTGCGAAGTTAAAGAATTAGTTCCCACTTGCCATGCTTGACGTACAGCGGTGAAGGGGAAACACATGGAAGCGGTGAAGGGGAAACACATTGTAAAGTCCCTCATAAAAGCACAGTATTTTATGTTATGCGTTTTGTGCTATGTAACAGCAGTACAAAACGCATATTTTCACAGCGTTGTGTATGTGTCTACAGAAAATTGTTTAAATTAGTATGGTTCCCGAGTTAAAGGATGCCAACAGTGTTTCAGCTGGAAATTTTACCTGCTCATACTTAAGAATTAAAGTGTCTTGAAGCTGGATTTAACAAAATTCAAATTGTACATAGATAGGAAGCTTCCTAGCTTCTTTGGTTGTTGTGCTTAAAGTGGGTAAGAAAATCAAAATGTACATAAGTTTTTTCTTTACTGGATTAAAAGCAGTACGAAATTTTGCGAAATACTGTGTTTTGCAAAGGTCTTTTGCTGACTGGATGAAAAAACTAAAAACTAACTTGGCTTAAGTGGTCATTTTCAAAGCGCTGCCAGCAGACAACTTTAAAAGAATAATATCAGATATATGAACTTTATTCAAAAACAAGGAAATGAGGCTGCGCACTGAAATTGGTAGCAAATGCGTAGCGAATAATGCACTTTCAAATTACAGTTGCAAGCTCCAAAGAGTTTGTTTTCGCAAATTGGGTGAAAAAAACAGGTTTCCAAAAAAAGCTCACTTCGATGAATTTTCATTTGACGCGTCCTTACCCCCGCGTCGCGCATGAATTTTTTTTTAAAGCGAACTTCCTTCATTTCTCCTTTTTTAAGTTTGGGTTGTTAGCTCGGAGTGTCCTGGAAAACCACTAAATTATTCATAGAGCTCAACCATTACTGGAGTTTCGATCATATTAGGAGCTCGATCTTGAATTTATTTCTCAGTTGGGTTCTGCGAAAAGTAATTGTCGAGAGCCTTACGACAACGGTCCAATCATTTGAACCCATAATGCGCCCTCACCTGTTAAAACTAGAAAAATGAAATATCCTTTTGTTGGTTTTACTAACGAAAATTTTCAAAGCAAAGTGAATTACTTCGGAAACAAAGCCAGTACTGGTTAAATTTAAATTTTCGAAAATATAAGGAC